TGTATTTTTATAATATAAAATGGAGAGAGCTATCTGATCATATGCAACTCTAAAAATATTTTAATCAAAGATTTCTTTCCACATTGTGATAATAATTAATTGGTTTATGTAATGGCTTATAAGTTTAATGGTAAGGACTTTAAAGAATGACTTAAATCAGAGAGCATTTATTGTTTCTCACATACATTCTCACAGTATTTTAGGATAGAATTTTCAGGTATGGATACTGGCCCCTTAGGGACCTAAAACTACATTCGATGAAAAGGAACTGCAATTATGTACATGTAAGACAATTCTCCCAGGAGTCTTAGGTCTTATGAAGTTTTATTTTTTAGATCTATGCCATTATTCTAACCTTCCTTGGATATGTGCAAGATAGAAACAATAGAAACAGTTTCATTTCCTTGAGCTCCTGGGCTCAACCAGGTGATCAATCACTTGATATTGCTGCTTCCACCTTTGAATTTTATTGTACTTTTTAAATTTTATTTTTAAGATCTGTATATGGAAGAGAAGAAACCTCAATGAAAACTTGGCCTTAATCCTAAAGTAATCCCTTTGCTACTCTTTCCTTTACCAATTCCCTTTCCTCTATTGCCTCCTTCCTCCCCAGACCCTGGGAGGAAGAACACTCACATCTGCTCTTCTGTTCCTCCACCTGCTTCTGTGGGTGAGGCACAGAGCTCTTCCCCTGATTTGAGCCTGAAAGCCCCTGAGCCATTTAGTGATATTCCTATGGAGTATTCCACAGTGTATCTCCTTTGCCTTGCCCTTCTGTCATCACTATTCAGGTTTTTGCTAGCTCTTGACCATAGCAATAGGTTCCAAGCGGATCTTCCCAAAAATCTGATTTTCCCTGAATAATATAACTGTTTAACGCACTTCCCAGCTCAAAAGTGCTCAAAAACTCTCTGAAGTATATCAAGCGCATTACAGACTCTTCATCATGTCTTTCAAAATTCTACAATTTCTTGTCTCAAACTATGTTTGGAGGCTATCTCCCTAGTCCTTTTAATTTATTCTCTTGAAGCCAAAATTCCTGCCATTGCCAGAAGGTTCCATCAGCCTGTTTGTATCTCCTTCTTTTACATGGAATGTGTTACAGTCTTCCAGTGATGTTGATGGGCACTTACTGTAAATTTACAAATTGTCACTGCTTGAATGAGTGTGACTGAATTAATGATGATTAGCAATGGGTGTTTCAAGTGACTGCCTGAGGGAATCTACCAATTTACTCTTAACCTTTTCCCCCTAAGCTGATATTGCTATTTACAATATTTTTTGAAGGTTAGAATGATGGGAAAGATATTTTCCTTGATTCATTCTTTAATAAAGAGAAAATTTATTTATTAAACTGAAATATTTTTATTATACTATATTCAGGCAACCCGGGTATCCACACTGAATGTGTGAGTGGAGAATATGACTATGCAACTCTACTGACTAAGCCTAAAGTTTTGAACAGGAACACATGGAGAAGGAATGAACATCCTTAATTCAAATAAAAACCTCACCCCATAATTTAATACTTTCATCTGATAAAATCTTATCTACCTGCAAAGTCTCTGTGTTCTTTTTCTGTAAGACCTCATGTCCTCTTTATCAAGAAACTGTTTCTCACATCCACCTGAAAGACTCACCCTTTGGGGATCTTGGGGTACACGTCAAGTGTATCTATTGCACTTCAGTGGGAGTTGGAGTCACCCAGGTACTACGGTGGGGTCTGTAGTCATCCAGGTGCATAAGGTAGCTTTCTCTGACTACAAGCTCTCACCATCTGGTGGAGGAAGGAGACTGTTACTGTGATACTGATTCTTAAAATCACTGTCTTCACCCTGTGTAAAATACGGGTGAGCTGCCATGGCAGAGGAAAAGATGGAGGAGTTAATGGTCTGAAGGTCAAGGGGTGTCCTTCCAGGGCAGCAAACCTTTGACCTCTAGGCCCTGGAAGATGAGGTGTGGAAAGGGAGAAAGGCAGGGCATGTTCAGGAATGGGGAGTTGCACAATGTGGCTGGGGCCTAAGGAGCGTGGAAATAGTAGAAGAGAAGATTGGAAATGCAGTTTGGGGTCAGGCCAAGGAGTTTGAACTTCACCAAGTATTTAAAGGAGTGACATCTAGGGTGTTTTAAACATCAAAATAAAACTTCAAATCTCATGTTTTAAAAAGTTAACTCTAGTGATACAATGAAAGGTGGATTGGTAGGAAAGATGGATTCAAGATAAAAATTAACTTTTTTAGATCCAGAAGTATCTTATATTTCCTTTAAGACCTTTGATACATCTGGGTTTTATAATTTAGAGATATTTGTACCTATTCCTGTCCTATTAATAAATTGGGTCTTGTCTAAAGTTGGGTCTTGTCTGGGGTCTTAAAGGACCACTTCTATTTGAAACATCCAAGAATTATGGGAAGTTGGATTTTATATTATAAATATATAAATACTAGTAGTTGTAGTTTTTTTTGGTCTGAATCTTTCCAGATTATAAAGGAGATAAGGCATTTACTAACATTAAAACACATTAACAATGTGTATATTTGAAATCATAATAGTCACTCATGCCTTGCTCTATGTGCTATGCCAAGCATATATATGAGGTCACTTTGTATTTTCAGTAAGTTTACTGTATGCATTTTACAAATATGCTGAAGTCCAGACAATTTAACATGACATGTCAGAAACAGCATCATGTAGTAAATTTTTCTCTGTTCATGAGTCTGGTTTTTTTTTTTTTTTTTTTTGATTGTTTGTTTTTTTTGCATTGTTAGTTATCAAACACAGGGCCTCATGTGTGCTGAGCAAGCCCTATACCTCTGAGCTACATCCCCAGCCTGAGTCATCTCGGTCTTTCTTTGCACCTTAAATGTGTTCCTTCTTCAAAAATAGGAACTTGCTTTTGCTGTTACCTYTTCCTGGCAGGTTCTTTACCTAGATATTTACAAAACTGACCTCTGCAGTCTTTTGTGTTACCTACTGCAAGAAACCTTCCTTTTGTACATCCTATGTAGTGTTGCACATTTCTCTAGTCCACTTTCTTTAAGGTATATTGTTATTGGAAATTATGTATTTACTTGTTTMGTGTCCGTCCCCAGTCTTAGGATATCAATTTCATGAGATCAAGTACTTTGAATGCCTTATACACCTCTGAATTACATGTCAAAGCATTTGAGAGAGCAGTTTCTGGAACTTAGTGTACATTCAACAACTCTCAATGTGGAGGCTGGATGGGTGAATGGATGCATAAACATCTGCAGAGTCCAGGCTTATTTCTGGTCCCAATCTCTAGGTATTTTCATTTTGCTTCCTGGCATCCTGGAATATAATCCTTTGAACTATGTATCTGGGATCAAGGTGGATAAACTTTTTAAGATCAAGTACTTACTCACTAAGGGAAAGAAAAGATCATTCTCATGAGACCATATTACTTAAATTAAGCATGTAGTTCATAATACCTGGGAAGTGTGATTAGTTTAGAAGCAAACACATTTCTGACAAATTATTTCTAGTATTTTACTTACCTTTTCTTATGTATTCTTGCTGACTGAATTTTGTGGAATATTGGAAATGGCATAATTCTTGTCTTTATTTTATTGTCTTTATTTTTTAAAAGCTCAGACATTTCAACAGGCCTATCTAATATATTAGTGAATTCAGTTGATCTCCACACACAAAATACCCAGTCCTAAGAGCATAAACTCTTTCTTTCCTCAAACTCCATTTTTCTTTTATGGTGAAATATTGGCCTTTTGGAAATATACTTTCCTTGGTCTTGGTGGAGTCTGAGATGACTGATTTTGTCACAAACACATCTTCTCCTCTCTTCTCACCATCCACATATCTAGGAGTAGCTTGCTGTTTAACAACTAAGTCAGAGATAATGGCCTGTGAAAGAATCTTAAGTATATTTCTCAGTATTTTGTGAAGTAACATGATCTTAGCTCAGTTAATTAATTTTGTTAAAATTGTATGAAGGGGTTCATACAATTGTAAAATAATTCAAAGGCAACCTGCCCTTTACCTTGATCCCTACCTTCTCCAAAAACATGGTGTAATAGAAATGAACAGAATAATGGTTGACAAGCAAAATTTTAAGGCATTCTAAATATCACTGGTTGGTTTAATAAAATTAATTAGCCTGCCACGGAGAAAATTTACTAGCGTGCTGGTTAATTTCACAATGTAAAGTCAGGGAAGGGAGCTAGGGTTGAGGGAACAAACCTTATTAGTTTTGAATAATTATTTAAAGATGTGGGCTTGCCAATTTCAAACACTTTGATAGCCAAATCCATTAAGGTTTTAAAATCTCCATGTCTGTATCCCTGCATATGCAGGAAGGAACTTCTCCAAATGAAATAATAAGCATATTAGTTAACTGCTAAATGATTCATTTAAGATACAAACAACAAGTAGAATCCCAATGAAACCATAGGACCTTACCTTAAAACTGGCTCAGGGGAGGTTTCTATAATCTTAATTTGCCATTGATGCAATTATTGCTCTTTCTTGTCTTTTTAATCCAAACAAGATGTTTGCAGTGGCTGTGGAAAGGTGCCTGAAATCACATGCCTGAATTCATTTAATTTGCCAACATTGTCTTTTTTCTCTCTCCCTTTATGGTAATGGGCAAGAGTCAGTTCTGGTGCATTAGGTGCTAAATCTCTTCAATTACCAGCCGGGAAGAAAGATTTAAAATTGTGCTTCAAACCTACAAACTGATTTAGTTTTAAAGCACAAACACTTCTCCTGTGGAGCCTAAATTAAACTACAGAAAGGACGAAAAGCCTGAGGAATCAAACAAGGCAGGGCGAGGGATAGGAACCATTTTTGGTTTTTTTCATTTGAGCCCCCTGGTGATAAAGGAAGGGGGGCAGAAACAAGTTGAAAGATGCAACCCGTGTAAGAAAGAACAATATTATGTTGCTTGGRAGCTGGGCATGGAGTGAATATTGGTATTGAGATCAAATAAATTTCTTACCTTTTTCTTTTTCTCTTTTTGGCAGCCATTTTTAACGTGGATGACTCTGTGGTTGATCTGGAGACCCTAGCAGCCTTATATGAAAACGTGAGTGTCAAAGATAGACAAAGCTGGAATTTTCATATTTTCTTTCAACGCTGAAAATCTCTGAGCCATTCATGTTCTTTGGTCATAAGAACTTTGACCTGGCATGGAAGAGTTTAATAATGGCATAGGGATGCAAGCTTGAGTGGGAGCAGACACGAAAGGAACGTAACTCCCACTGTGGGATCTGGGTTGGTAGATCTCACTGTACTTTGCAAAGCAGAAAGGTTCAAGGTGGAGACCACATATGTGCCCTGGAATCCACCATATTGCTTGATAGCAGAGTGAGGGCAGGGAGGCTGACCACATGATGTAGGCATACACCCAAGTCTTCCTTTGAGGAATAGGACTGCTAATACCTGCTTGGATGATTACCTAGTCCACACAGGCTGATGGCAGTGAATGTGGGGATCAGTTCAGTATGCTGAGGAGGATGTGTCTTGGATTGAGAGTCAGACAGTCTAGGTTTGAGGTACACCTCTACCAGTGCTTGCTGAGTAACTTTCTACCAGTTATTTAAGTGGCCAGTTACTGTTTGATCATCGGTAGAAGAGATTGTAGGTAGGATTCTACCTGAGTTTTTTGGGGGGGACCAAGTAAGAATTTAATATATAKAGAAATACAATGTTTCTTGAAAGTAAGACAGCACTATACACACATTAGTTCTTTCGATTTCAGTTATATGCAGAAATAACCAGCAGAATGTGCAGGAAAGATGATATTGGAGAGTCAGAATCCCCATGATTTTGAATTGATGCAATTATTGCTCTTTCTTTTCTTTTTAATCTAAACAAGATGTTCACTGACTGTTAGAATGCAAAAACAAACAAACAAACAAACAAACAAAGACATATAAATTGAATGAGATTCTCTTAAGTAATGGTATTTCCCAGGGAGCTGCCTGAGACTCCAAGGTATGTTGTGAACACTCAGCTCAAAAGATGATTCATTTTAATATTTATGTCCCCTGGAACCTTAAATCTCTTAAAAGAAAATTTCCATAGTTTAATATTATAGACCTGGTGGGATTGCCAATTCCCTGCTCATTTCACATCCTTTGTATACATCAGAAGCTATTTAGTATAACCTGGTGGGAAGTTCTCATGTTTTTTGTCAATAAAACTTTCATTAATAAACCCAAAGGCACACAAATACCAGACCATGGGGAATTAATCCTGCATTTCTTGAGTACCTGGAGGTCAACGTGTTATAGTAGAAGGAAGGATTTCAAATCAGAAGCCCTTTACTGCTAGCTTAATGTGAGCCTCAGCGGAATACCTGTGAAATGAGGATACCTTAATTGATGTTAAAGAACTTTGTCAAAAGCAAGGTACCTTCCAAAAGCTTTTTGTTGTTACTCTGGGCTCAGGACTTTGCACATGGATGGTACTTGTTAGCACACAATAGAGGCAAGCCATACACAACTGAAATAGTTGGATAAATGGAGAAAGTGTGTGATTAAATATAAAAAAAAAAGTTGTAGACACAGTACTTATGAAATTCAGAAAAAGGGATGCTGACTTCACATAATGGAGTGGAAAGCCTCTGGAAGTTAGAGCTGTTCCAAAAGGGTATAAGCAAATATGAAGGACGACTTGCCCTTTATCTACTTATAGGGAATCGAAGGTAGCAAACTAATGTCCCGATTTCTGTTTCAGGCTGAGTGTACTGATTATGACAATTTGCATTTGCCAGTGATTCTGAATGTTAACATCCATCAAAATCACCTGGAGGGTTTACTGGACTTTGGAGTTTCTTATGTTTGGGGTGGTGGTGCCAACAATTTGGATTTCTAACAGTGGACAACAGGAGCATCAACATCAACAAAACCTTGAAGGATTCATGCCTTCTTCCTTCCTCAGTTACCCTTTTGGTTAAAATGTTTCATCTAAAAAGAAATGAAAAGTTTCTAGACCAAGAAAGGGGAGTCTTGTGGGAGAAGGAGCTTGATACATACAGAATCCAGGAGCTAATGCTGGTACTGCAGGTCCGGGGACCACACTTTGAAACCTATTGCTGTAGATGGATTTCTCATTATTCATTTAGTTTTGTTTTGTTTTCTGTTTCACTACAGAGAGGCCAAGAAGATGAATTGGTTAAAATAAGAAAATACTACGAGACATCCAAAGAAGAAGAATTAAAGCTGCTGGACAAACCTGAACAGTAAGGACACTAAAACAGTTTTCTGTTAGTACAAAAGATAAACTGTAGTTTCTCACTCCTTGCCTCCCCATTCTGAATAGTCAAGTCTAAATTGTGCAGTGAGCTGAGTTACAACACCGTCCTTCCTGTGACCTATTGCGTACAGCAGAGTGACCCAGCTGCCGGGAAGAGCAGCACTGAGCTTTGGGCTGCTGGATGCAGTGTATTTCACACCATGCTCCCACCCCACATGACTCCCCTTGCTTGGTCTAGCAACTTTTTAATTCCTTCTAGACTAAACATTTTAGCCAAAAGGGTAACTGAGGAAGGAAGAAGGAATTACTTCATTTAAGATTTTGCCAATAGAGTGAAAAGGATATTGGAGTCCCAAAATTCAGATTGATTTTCTTAAATGTCATATTCGGTAAATATAACTTTAATGTTCCAGATTTCCCCCAAACTTCTCCACTTGTTCTGCCCAAATTCAATGCTACTTTCCCGTCCTCATTCTCTGTGGGCTTATTCTTCACTCACTTTAGGTGCTTCTCTGTTCTTTGGGATGTCATTCCAAATTCTTTGAAACCCAGAACTCTGGTGCATAACTGAGTTCTTGGCTGGGCTCTCCGTGTCTGCAAGCCATAGACTGGTTCCTGGGGTTCTGCAGCCTATGGGCCCAAACACCCTTTCAGGGGCCTTAGACCTGATTTTGAGTGGACAGGGGACATCATGCCTGTTGTTATCTTGAATGTTTCATGTCCAATTCAGGCTAGCCCTCTCAACCTAGAAGCAAGGCAAGTACAGAAAGCAAACCAGAAAGGGAATAATCCAATTTAAAAGCAGAAAGGAAATGGAGTTATCAGATTTAKCACAGAACCACAGACATCCAAGTTTCTGTGGCTTCTGCTGAAGCCTCCCTGCCTTGTTCTTGGGTCCCCTAGGATATTCCATTCCCAGTGAATACCTGGACATTCTAGGCCCATTAAAAATACCTCTAACAAGTAGGTTTGTAGGTAGGGAAAGATGCCTAGGTTTGTTCAGTCACTGACAACCTTCCTGATGTTTTAAGAACCTTGGATTAGTTCTTCTCACATGGAGTTTTTGACAATACCCCTTGCTCTAAAACTAGTTCACAAAGCCTAAGAATACTACAAATTGGCTCAAATAGGATTCCACTGCCCTTCTGCTCCACTGACCAGAGCCACCCTCCTTACCAGCTCCCRTCCCAGCTGATTCTGTGGCTCATTCCCAAGTCATGTTTCCTCATATGTTATATAAATGAATTTCCTATTAAGGTKCTGATGACTGAAAGCGAAGTGACTGATAATGGAAATGGAGGGGTGGCATTTGGGAACCATAGGGCTTATCAACAATTTGGGGTAGGGTTAGTTATGCCAAGTTGTGTAGTGGAACTCAGTTCTAACCCTGGAGTTGGCAAACTTTCAGTGACGGACCAGATAGTAAGTATTTTAGGCTTTGTGGATCAAGGAATCTGTCACAGCTACTCAAGTCATCCATTGTAGTGCAGAAGCAACCATAGACAATACATATGCAGAAGACATGCCCCCCCCAAAAAAAAATTTTACTCAGGTATTTTAGTCAGCTTTTTCGCTGCTGTGACCAAAGGACATGACAAGGGTGAAATGACATGACAAGGACAATTTTAGAGGAGGAAAAGTTTATTTTGTGGCTCACGGCTTCGGAGGTCTCAGTCCATARGTGGCTGACTCCATTCCTCAGGGCTCAAGGTGAGTCAGAATATCATGACAGAAGGGTGTGGTGGAAGAAAGCAGGTCAGGATGTGGCCACCACTAAGCAGAAAGAGGAGTTCTGCTCAATAAGGATAAAATATAAACCCCAAAGGCAGGCCCCCAGAGACCCACCTCCTCCAGCTACACTCTTCCTGCCTATAGTTACCACCCAGCTAATTCTTATCAGAGAATTAATGTCCTGATTAGGTTAAACTTTTTATAACCAGATCATTTTATCTGTAAGCTTTCATTGTCTCACACAGGAGCTTTTGAGGAATCTTAATCTCTAAACTATAACGCTGGAAATACTGAAATTTGAATTTCATATCACTTTTATGTGCCATAAAATGTTATGCTTCTTTTGATTCTTTTTTCAACCATTTAAAAGTATGAAAACCATTCTTAGTTCATGAGCCATAGCAAAGTGCATGGCAAATTGGCTTTCACACCCATGGTCTGAAATTTGCTGACCCCTCACCCACTCAGCAAAACCTGCTCAAGCTATGGGGATGGTGATGGGTGAAATGAGCAATTGAGGAGAGGCTTTGTGTTTCTGCCACAGGAGAATTTCCCTTTTTCTTTTGTGCTTCTGCCTTTTAGCTTTACTTCTCCAGACTAATTGCCAGGATGTAGAATAATGGTGGCAGGTAATTAGCAAACAACTAATTATTCCTGTTTTTTTTTTCCTGTTGATTTGATGATCTAGGTAGAAGAGCAGTTATCTATCTAGCTATAGTACTAGGGATTGAAACCATAGGCCCCTACATTGAAACATGCCCACAACTCTTTTTTTTTTTTATTGTATTTTTATTTTAAGACAGGGTCTTGCTTAGCTGCTGAGGCTGGCCTCAAACTTATCCTCCTGTGTCAGCCTCCCAATTCACTAAAATTACAGGCATGCACCACAGCACCCAGCTAGAAAAACAATTTTAAAGTTTATGAATGGTTATTGTGCTGACTTCCTGGACACTCACAGTTATTACTGACAGCAAAGAGGACCATCAGGTTGTGTTGGTGAAAAAATGTGCTTGGGCTCAGGTGGTGGAGGGTGAGGCATGGAGAGGTGGGGGCCCTGGGACCTGAGTGAATTTAGCCTTTGCTTTAGACCTCCTGCACCGTCTAGCATTTATTTCATTTATGCCAGAGGCTGATTCTCTGGCAACTTAGTTACCATTAACTCCAAGAGAGTGGACTATAAGCATGTTTTACATACTGGAAAATATGAATCATTTATAGTTAGCATTACAGTTTCCTAAGGATACTGTGGTGCCCAGTCCTATAAATCATAGCACGACAGGGCTGGTCTCATCACTCACCTCATCAACTCCCCTACACCCAAGTGCCAGATTTGGAAAGTAATTTCCCACAGAGGTGTCGTCTGTGTGGGACCTGGCTGTCTGAGAGCCACTCCCTCTACCGATGGCCCTTGACTCCCTTTGTATTCTCCACTGAGATGGTAGTGCTGAGGCGAGTCTCCCCGGGAAATGGCTAGGCCTGATGCATCTACCCTGGTCTTGAATGAGGATGCCATTTATATCTGTTGGGATGCTTCGCTGGGGTCCACAGCTATCTTAGACCTCTGCAAACTGGGATCTGTTAGTGTTGTCCTCCCTAGAAGGACCCAGGTTACAGTTTGGAATCACACTGTGTATATAGCCCTATGTGCACATGCACTTCAGATAATACCATTCAGAGATTTAAGGAATGATGATAAACCACATTATTTTCTTTAAAATAAAGGGCCATGAAGTATCATTTCCACTGCCAGCTGACTTGCTGTGGTGGATGTGTAACCCACAGGCACGAGGCACAGAGCTTCTCTTCCTTATATAGACTGAAGTTGCAGTTCTTCCTGGGAAACTAAGCCTGCTTTTGTGGCTTCTTCAGGCTTCTCTATTATGGAACCTAAATACAAAGTTAGACTATCTCAAAAGTCATTCAGTCAAATGAATATTTGTAAGTACCAAGGCCCAGTGTTCAAGRTATAGGCTCTGCCTGGAAATACATCAAAGGTTATTATCCCTGCATCTGTGGGTATAGTATAAAACACAGTTGGGGAAATAAGATATTTATCAGGTAATTACTTTCAATAGCCTATTCTTCTGGTATTTTGTAAGATAAATGCAAAAGGAATTCTGGTTCTTTCCCTCAAGAATTTACATGGCTATTTTTKAACAGAAAATGACATAAAGTCACATTTTTTTCCTAAATTTTCTTCTCTGGTATTCTGTATCTTCCCATTCTATGAGCTATGTCAAAACCCAAACTCACAAGGCATCCTGGACACTTGTCAACATCCCTTGGGAGTAGTTGGGTCTTGCTGCGTTAAGACTGTCCCATCTTTTACAACTCTGCAGGCCATCTTATCTTTCCTCTTGGAAGATTATAGCAGTGGTCTCATAGGTCTTCCAGCTTCAAATCTGTTGTCATCTCCACTCTGCTGGGCTGCTGCCATGGTGTTTGTCTAGAACAAAATCTAGAAGTATCGCTTCTCTGTTTAATACCCTTCATTCATTCATAAAAAAAAATTAACTCCTTAATTTAGAATATAAAACCCATGTTAGCATCTGACTTTTGCTCATCTCCCCTGTAGAATGCGTCCAACCTGACAGCTCCTCTCACACACAAGCATCACAGGGCTCCAGGAAACCCAGCCAACAACACCCTCCAGGGCTCTGACTCACATCAGTACCCCATGATGGCTTCCCATCATCCAGAGCACTTGACACACTCCACAGTAATCACTGATTTACTTCTCAGAGTGTCAAGAAAGAATTGTGTGTAAGTTAAATCCTGTTCCCAGGTCTTAGCATGGTGCCTAACACCTTGTAAATTCTATCACACATGCTTGAAGGACTGGCTGACTGTTCTCAGGGCTGATGCTCTAGTGCTTATTTTCAGTGATAAGGTTCTAGCCAAAAGTAATGTAAAATCCCTCAACTTCCCACCCACCTCCAACTCTGTGTATGCATTCTAGACTTCACCATACAGAAAACTATGAAACTCTAGGAATCTTTGAGAGCCTTCATAGTCCCAGCCCTAATCCCTGTCAGGTTTAGTCCTGGAGATGCTCTAAATTCTATTTTTCTCTTTCTTGAGTAATATAAGTTAATGAGCCTGTGGTCTCTTGTCTTCTGTTTGTCCTGAAGGTCCTCTTTGAGCCCATTAATAAGTCATTGCCTGCTTTTCATTTCTATCCTTGTGGGTGAGCTGAGGTGTTGATGTGTGTGTTCTCTTGTGGTCACTGTAACTACTTYACTGCTGTATTCATTTTAAGTATGACATGTACATATTGTGAGGATCTTCTGGGTCCTGCTCGGGGAATGATGTGTCATGGCACATTTGGTGGTGGTGGGGAGAGGGGGGGTCCGGTAGAAATGAAGGGAAGTTTCTTTAGAGAGCTTTCAGCATCTACATAAATTTCCCCAAGACTCAWCCCAGGACCAAATGCTGCTAGTCCTATGAGCTTTTTATTTCTCATATATTTGTGAAAATCAGGGATAACCTTGGTGGTAGTCATGATAAATGAATCATTTGTTTAATTCAATGTTGTGTTTATGAAGAAACAGTTTACATACAGTGCAATTTTTTTTCATCTTGTCCCAATGCAGAATTCTTGAGTTTCTACTTTTATATTATATCATCTAATTTTCATAATAATCACTTATAGAACTTAAAAACAAAGCTGTGTTTTCTTTTGGGTATCTTCCTTGCTTCATCTCAGTACCATTTAACAAAGGGAGAGACCATGACCTGATAATTAGAAATTTCTGAATAGGTACAGAATATAAGCCAAGAAAACTTTTTTTGGGTATAGAAAGAGGGAGGCTCCAACTTTGCTCCTCTATAAAACCATTCTTGGTGAGAGATTGCAAAATTTCAAGGTAATGATGTTATGAGTTGACCAAGACTTTCAGAAATATCAGTTAGTCATCATTTTGATTCTAAAATGAAATTAATGTCAGTTAGTGGATTCTCTCCCTTTCTGAATTCATATCCAGCTGTTTCCACCCTTTTCAGTTTATACCCTTTCCTCTGGTGGTTGGCCTGGAGAATATGTAGCTCTTCCAACTTAATTTTGCAAAGGACACCAGTGCCCAGCTGCTCAGACAGTGAGCTACTGTGTGTAGGTCAGTACTCACCTTTAGCTTTTAAGATCTGTCTTGCCATATTTTTAAAGAAACTTAAAATTGTCTACTTCATGAGTATCTGCTTTGTTCCAACTACTGAGCTAGGAACTGTGTCTTTGTGGGTAAATTGATATGAAAAATAAACACATATATGGAGAATTAGATAATTATAGACTTATGTAATTGAGCAAAAATAATAGCGATCTCACTTTTTAAGTCATTTAACCATAGATATTTGCCTCAAGTCTTCCCTTTGCTTAGACTACAAAAATATACCTTTAGAGAATGCTGCACTACATTACAAAGAAGTTTATTGTGTAATCTTTTTTTTTTTAAGAACTAAAGACTAGAGCTTTCMATTTGGGTTTAATTTGGTTCTGGTAGCAGGATATAGATAACTTGTTCAGTACACATGCATAACCTTCTGTTCCTAAAGTAATTTATATGCCTTATATTTATTTACCATCATACAAACCTATAAGGCTRTGGCCCYGTCATCAACAACAGAACACATATCYTTGAAATTTTTCGAGTTGACCTGATGCCTTTTAAAATTGCTAAATTGAAACTGTCAAATAAGGAATATTCTCATGTGAGATCTTGATATCAACTCTTCTTATTTTCCTTGTGACCACATATAAAGCAAAATTACTCATTTTTATTTTTACAGATTTTTACATGAGTTAGCCCAGATCCCCAATTTTGCTGAACGTGCCCAGTGCATAATCTTCAGATCTGTTTTTTCTGAGGGCATCACCTCCTTGCACCGAAAAGTAGAGATTGTCACAAGAGCTTCTAAGGTAYGTCTGCTGTGCAGTTTGAAAGCTAGCCTTACTCTTATGGGGAATGAAGGAGGAAATCGGGAGAGGGAGAGATTAAGGCTAATGCCGTGTAGAAACCCTTTTGGACTTCATGTTGTGTGCTTTTGTAAGGGCAAATGTGATAGTTACAAGTATGTGTGTGCCCCTRTGAGTGAAAGGAGGAGGGAGTGAAAAGAAGGTCCAGACTGGAGAAGAAAAGAAGGTGGAGGAAATGATAATCATAATAATGATAAAATAGGAGAGGGAAAACAAATGAAATAGGGAGCTGAAAAAAAATTCTAAGCATCTTGAAATTGTAAAAGTTAATAGACATACAACAAACACTTAATAAACATACATTTTAAAAACTTAATAAACATAACCTATGGCCTTAAAACGTGTTATTATAGCTTACCTTTGAGGATCATACTCACACTTGCTACTACACATTTAACRATATTCATTATATAGATCCATACACCCAAATCAGACCCTGAAAAGATATTAAACTTCTTTCTATTCAGAAGTCATCATAGGTTAAGCCTAACTATTCCAGCTCCATTTTAACAATCATTAAATACTTTAAGGTAAAGTATTAAAAATAACACTGGCTCAAATGGAAATATGAATACCAAAATTTAATCCTTAGTAAGAACATTTTATAATTTCATTGAGTAGAAAATGATGGCTGTTAATCCTTTATTTCAAAGACCTCTGTGCCTTAGTAAAGTATATTTTTTACTTTGCATTAACCCTATAGGGGTTAAACCACCAAACAATCTATTGAGTTCTTCCTAATAAATATTCATATTGAATGGACGTGGGTACATTTGGGGTTCAGACCATAATAACTAGTATTTGACATTGCAGGGTTTGCTGCACATGAAGAGTGTGAAGGACATCTTAGGTCTCATTCTGGCATTTGGAAATTATATGAATGGAGGAAATAGGACTCGGGGACAAGCAGATGGATATAGCTTAGAAATTCTGCCCAAACTCAAGGACGTCAAAAGTCGGGTATTTATTCATATTTTCATAGTGAGTTCCTATGATCTGCCATCATTTTCCTTCTATGCCTTTAATAACTTAAAAAAAAGYATTCCAGATTGTTCCTTTTATCCTTAATCTCCCAACAATAATAATCATTTAATTGAGAGCATTGCTTTTTTTTTTCTCCCTCTCACTGCTTTCTTTTGACTTTGGAGTAAAAACAGGTTTTGCTTATTAGACCTATTTTCTTTTTTTTTTTAAATTTTGATTTCTTATGTGTGACAGCAGAATGCATTACGATTCATATTACACATATAGAACACAATTTTTCATATCTCTGGTTGTACACTATTACACCTATTTTCAATGGTATAATCCCCAATCTTTTCTCTCTCTCTCTCTCTCTCTCTCTCTCTCTCTCTCTCTCTCTCTCTGTAACATACATGATAAGGTATTGAACTCCTAATGTAACAAGAGAGAAAAAGCACACAGAATTAGCCGGAGTGCAAAGGCTGTTGTCTGTTTGAACTTAGTGTTGGCTACTTGTAATTTACTCATTCTTGAGTGGCAGAGCACTAGCACCATTGAATCACCAATTGAGCTGAGCATTTAAATTATTCTTTTGCCCACAACAATTGGGCTGGGGTCTACTGTCAAACTCTCTGYGCCTGATTATCACTTGGCTCCACACCCCTGCAGAGCGACCTCTTTAGAAACAGCTAGCCCATATCTAGGCGTCCCATGGGAGGGCAGGGGGGTGGAAGGAGGGGAAACTCACAGGCAAATTAGAATTAGACCCCTGTGAACAAGACACAAAGGCTGCCTTGTGGGAGGGCCCGCTCGCCCTGGCCTCCCAGGGTCATAAAGTGGCATGGCTTTCCTTTTAAGCTGGCCCTGATTGTTTTTCACGCCATTAAGAACACACATTTTTTGAAAGGTGGGAAGGGAGGGATGGTTTTCTGTTCTAGTCTGCAGTTCCCTTTAGTGCTCCCCACCCCCTTCTGTCTTGGCTCTATGCCAGAAAATACTGTGCAAGAATTTTTTTGTTTGTTTGTTTTAGCTGTTGTCTCAGAGGTCTCATAAATTATCTGTTTAATTTTTTCCACAAAGGATAGCATATTGTCATTTTTTTGTATATCTGGCATTTAAAAARTGGATAAGACCAAGAGGAGGGAGGAAAATCTGCCCCATCTCAAATAGAATTAAGACCAGATCTCACAAATAGAAGTATCAGCTCTCAACTATATACCATGGCAGATCTCACATGAATGATTGTCATTGGAGTTTCTCTTTCAAACCTAGGATAATGGAATTAATCTGGTGGACTATGTTGTGAAGTATTACCTTCGTTACTATGACCAGGTAAGAAACAGCATTATGTGGGAAGCTGCACTAGTGGGGTTTCAACTTTTACACATTGTTGGCATTCAGAAATTGGATGATGGATGGTTGGATGSATGGATTTCAAGTCCAACATAGAATCTGGGAGCTCTCCATACTCCTTGGTTTTCAGATGAGAACACTGAAGCCAAGAGAAGCGTTATTACAGAGCACAAACCTACTAACTCTCAATTCACTGTATAATGCAATTCAGAAAGACCCCTAGTTGCCTTAGTGCCTCCTACCCAGACTGCAAGATTCTTTGTGAACTCCAGATCCATTCAGTAACTGGTCGTAGTTTTAAAACTGGATTCTGCAATATAGAACAAGATTTAGAAAATAAGATGCAGTAAAAGAAAGCCCAATATTTTACCACTAATGCTTCTGTGAGCAAATTGACATAGAATTTGAAAACAAAAACAAAAAAAACATTCTTTCTGGTTGGGTCGTGTTTGCAATTAGAAATAAACATGTCTGTAAGAATCCACCTGAGCACAATTTTCTGTCTCAGAAAATATTCCTTTTCCTTAAACCAAAAACAAGGAGTCCTAACTTTGAGAAGAAAGAGGGACTATTATTTAAGTTGTTGAGAAATACAGTAATCAATATGAACCAAAAAAGTCTCAGAGGAAAATGTTGTCGGGACTCCTGCRTAACTAGCCATGCAAGCTGTATTCTAGGCATAAGGAAAGAAGAACAAAGATCCCACCCAGGCCTTGTTCTCGAAGGGTCTACATTTTACAGAGCAGACAACAGACAAAGCCCTCATGAGCTCTTTAATGATTCCTGTTACCACTTCCCCCRCAAGTGAGTTCTCAGTGTGTCTATAATCAGACTGATCATTCCACCCTCTCCAAACTTCTTCCCTATTTCTATCAAGGATATCATGAATTTGGGTTATTCAGACATAAAGGCATATGCTCCTATTTGGTTCTTCTCTGTCCTTCAACTAAGATGTTTCCARTGTCTTTCCATATTTTTCCTTCCTACTTCCCTCAGCTCTCCAAGGCTTTCCATTAACTCATGTGGAAAATTTCAGTGCTTCCCAGCTCTTCACCCCACCTCCATATAGTGCGGGGCTAGGCCATCTCAACCTACAGTCTCTTTWCCTGTGGCTCTGATGCCACTTTTTTTGCTAAGGAAAAAAAAAAAAAATGGCTTCCCCATTTTCAAGTAAATTAAGACTCTACCCAATTTAATTCTGATTTTTTACAACCACACTTTTATTACTCTTCACTTATTCTGTGATCCAACCCAAGACCTGCTGTTTTCCAAACACACCCCAGGCTTGCTTACTAATGTGTTTTCACTTCTGATGCTCTCTCTAACTCAAGACTTTTTTTTTTATAAATTTCCCTTTTCTCCCTTTTAGAAATAAATCTAAACATCCTTTGGGAGAAAATTCCCAATGACATGATTAATATATGTATTATAGATTTACCCAGAAAAGTTTAGACCCTTGAGAAGAAAATTGACATACTTTTACTGAGAATCATAAAAAGTAGCAAAAACAAAAACAAAAAAGACACAGACATGTCCAATGGGTATATGGAAAAATGTTCAACATCATTAACCAACAAAGAAATGCAAATCAAAACCACAGAAAGATCCCCTTATACCTGTTAGGATGGCCACTATTAAAACACATATACACACACACATATAATAATTGTTGTCAAGGATGAGGAGAAATTGGAACACTTGAACAATGTTGGTGGGAGGTGTAGATATTCTGGAAAACAGTAAAAAGATTTCTCAAAACATTAAAAATAGAACTACCATATGATTTAGCAATCCCACTTTTAGGTGTTTATCAAAAAGAATTTAAACCGGGATCTTGAAGAGTTATTTGCACTCTCATGGTCATTGCAGCATTATGAACAATAGACCAAGATTTGGAAACAACCTAAATGTCCATTAATAGATGAATGAGTAAAGCAACCATGGCGAATACTTACAATGTAACATTTTCAACTGCAAAAAAGAAAGAAATCCTGTCACATGCTACAACATGGATCAACCTTGAGAACTTATGCTAAGTAGAAAGTATTCCAATCACACATATTACATGGCCCATTTATATAAGTTTGTAAAGTACTTTAGGCTCATAGAAATAGAAAATAAAATGGTGCTTGCCAGGAGGTGGGGGAAGACAAAAAAGGGGAGTTGAAGTTCAATCAGAATACAAGTTTTAGTTGTATAAGATATGAAAAAGTTCTGGAGATAAATGTATAACAATATTTTTTTTTCTTCCCTCTCTCTCTTTAATTTTCCTGTATTGGCAATTGAACCTAGGCCAGGGCCTCATGCATGCTAGGCCAGAACTCCATCATTGAGCTACATTATCCCTAGTCCTTTTTTATTTTTATTTCTTATTTTGAGACAGGGTCTGGCAAAGTTGCTTGGGCTGACATGAAATTTGAGATCCTCCTGCCTCTGTCTCCCAAGTCTCTGGAATTACAAGTGCATGCCATTACATCTGGCACAACAATATTGTACACATAACAACTTAAGATAATAGGTCTGTGGTATATGGTTTTTTACTACAATAAAAAGTAGCATGTACTCTCTACTGGAAATACTGGTTAAATTTTGTAATCAATCTTWGATATTGACAAAATGATTTTAAATATTGTATGTGAGAATAATTGGACAAAACTTGATTAGGATTAAAAAATAACAAAGAATAATTTGTTCATATTTTTAAGTGTAATGTAAAAGTAAAAGTGTGGAATGTTAGAATAATAGGTCAAAAAACTTGAAATGGAAAGGAAATCTCAGAAATGAACCCAATAAATGTGTTAAGTATGAGATAAATGAGTAATTTCAAGTAATTGGGAAGAGGAAGAAATTCAGTTTTCTCTTCTACCATATACCAGAGACCAAAATAAAATTTAAAGAATAAGAGTTAGATGTAAGAACAAAGAATGAAATCACAAAAGATATGTAAAAAAACATATAGGTAAATAGTTTTCTGATCTTGGGGTAAAAAGTCCTTTCAAAGCATTCAAGCTAAAGCAGAAACCATAAAAGGTGAGAATTATAACTTCAAATTCATTAAAGCGAAAAAAAATAATTTATAGTGGAAAAACTCTAGTATCTCAAAAATGACTTAAAGCCAACTTCTAAATAACACAGTGAGGAAAATATTTGCAACATAATTGATACTGAGCTATTTGGAAATCAATAAGAAAAAGATAACTTATCCCTTCTCATAAAAATATGACAAGAGACCCAGAAAATAATTTTCAAAAGACAAAGGTATAAATTGCCCACTAGATACAGAAGGGCAATGTGAATGGATCAAACCTTTCCCAGGACTTGCACCTGTAGTTAATCAGGTTATTCTCTGTTAGGGTTTCTGAGTCAAATGGGACTAGCCTGCCCTTGACTCACTAAACTATATATCCTCTAAAAGGGGTCTTTACAAAAATCCTCATGAAGTTGTCATATGCTTGTCATGCTACACAGGTGYGCTGAGCTAGCAGGGTTTTGACCTCACTATATCAAAAGTCTTAGAAATATGCATAATTTTTTTTCTTTTTTTTTCTTTTGGTGGTGCTGGGGATTGAACTCAGGGCCTTGTGCATGGGAGGCAAGCACTATACCAACTGAGCTATATCCCCAGCCTCTGCATAATTTTTCTAGGAATTTGTATCCTAAGGAAATAAGTATGGATTTTTGTCACTATCCTATTTATAGTAAATAATTTGTAATGACAAAATACTGGAAAATTTTTAGTATGTGTCTAATGGCTGAGACTAAGGTCAAATAAATTGTGCTAGAGTTATACAATGGAATAACATGTTTCTGTTGAAAGTGTATAGAGGAAAACTTGGTGGCATTTGAAAGTATTCTTGAAAGTATTTYAAATTACATGTGTGCATTTCAAAATTGTATGTGTGTATGTATATAGATATACACATATRTAGTATAATCTCAAGTATGATAATATAAATGTATATAAACACAKAAAAGAACTTGGAAAGATATATATTAAAATTTTTTTTTAATTATTTCTGGGTGTTAGGATTATAAGAATGTTTTTACTTATTTGTTTCAATGACTTAACATAGTGAATGTGTTATCATCTTATAAAGGGGAAAAAACATCATCAAAAGTGATTTAGTCCAGAACTGCAGTGGTAGCTCAGTGCTAGAGAACTTTCCTAGTACATATGAAGCACTGGATCCGATCCTTAGCATGTCATAAAATAAATAAATAAATAAAGATATTGTTTTTAAATCATTTAGTCCAATCAATCCTACCTGCTCCTTCCATGACATTTTTGTCCTGACTTTGGAAGGAAGACTGAAGCCCTCATTTGGGAAGCCTGGGGACATTTTTTTAGTCTTTCATGATAACATATCTGCTTTATGTATACATATGTAAAAGCACTAACTCCTAGCATTGCTCCCTGAGATCCAGAATTCATGTTGGTGCTTTTTTAGTGTCTATGATATAAGGCTCCAAAAAAACTGTTGCTGAGTTGGGTATATTGTAAATATCCACAGGACTGTGGAAAAATGATATCTGTAAAGAACTAGGTGTGAAGAGATGAAAGCTGATTTCTGGAGTAGAGAAATTATTGAGCTTCAGAAAATTTAGAAACAGCAATCACATATGTATATACCCTAAGCTGACAATGTGGCAGAAGAACTGTCCTGAAGACTCTTTAGGAGATAAAATTTCTAACACTAGATTAACAGATTTGCCTGGTAGTGTCTGCCTCTACCAACTTTAATGCATGGTACAGAAAGCCAGAATTGGCCTATGAAATACAATTGTCGTGAAGAGAGCAGAACYTAATGGAACTGAGTTCACGGAGGAAAATCTTATAATACGAAAAGTTGTAAATGTGGGATGGGCCCAGTCAAGGAAAAATAAGAAGTCTGCATTTGTGTGGTGCTCTCCTGGCTTTTACCAAGCAAAATGCATTTCACTCAACGAGAGTGTGGAATTATGATTTATGAAGCCATCCTTTCCCACGAGGAGCAAGAGTGATGATGTTTGTGGTTAGTGGTGATGAGCAATTAGCTGAGGAAAGGTGGTTCCTGCTCCAGGCTTCCTGCTTCTCATGCCTAGTGTTAGATCCAAGCCTAGATCTGTGGAGGTTCAAGAAACCCATGAAAGTCATGTCTTTTCAACTCTAATTGAGCAGCTTTCACAAGAGCTACTACCAGCCTTATTTCTTAGCAGCATTTTCTCTTTTTTGTAACTTAAAAAAAAAAAAAAAAGTTGAAACCAGGGCTGAGTCTGATAATGACTTTGARAAAGAGAAAGAGATATCATACCCCAGTTCTTCCAGTGTAGATGACCAGGGGATTTTGTGGTCAGCACATTAGTTGTTGTTTCATCTTAGCACTCAGACCAAGGGTGCTGCTCCCACTGCTTTTAAAGTACTAAAATAAATAGAGGAAGATGAAAAAAAAAAAAAAAATATATATATATATATATATATATTATGTTCAGATAAAATGAGGAAAACCATCATCTCCTAGATTCCCAAATGAAGGTAAAGGCCTTAAAGGGAAGGGGGAGGGTCCAGGGGATTCTCAAAACAAGAAGAAAATATGGTTATAAATTAGGGTTCTCCTGTTAAAGGTACAGTTTTTCCAAAACAGCATTTTGCAGACAGCATTCACCAATTTGGTATTGATACACCAGACACTAAGAACAAGACCCAGTTCCTGCTGTGGAGGAGTCTGTCATCTAGTAGGGATGATATACGAGCTAACACCACAATTTTTTAATTAGTAGAGCAGTTAATATCTGATAACTTAGTTTCAGGGCCTCTTGAAGTATAGGAGAGAAACATACAAATGCTGGGAGTTTGGGGAAGTCTTTGAGGAAGTGACATTTGTTTTGAGACATGAAGGATGAATATGAACAAGAAGGTATGGGAAGGACTGGAAAGGGACAGTTTTACAGACAAAGGCCTGGAGGCAAGAGACTGTGGCCTTTCTACTGTTCATGGAGGTTTAGAACAGGGAGTTGGAGATGGGGGAAGGCAGAAGTAAGGCTGGACGTGTAGACAGAAGCCAGATCATAAAGTGCCTTGTAAAGCAGTTTTAAAGTTTGGAATTAGTCCTAATGGCAGTAGAGAAGATGGAATGTGAAGGAAAACTGGCAAAGTAGTGTGTGTAGAGACAGGAATAACTGAAGGCTGCCTAAGATATGCAAGATACAAAGCTTATATTAAACAATTCAGGAAGAAGGCAAGCTAGGCTGGAAGAGATATTTGAAGCTCAGCTTATGTTCCACTGTGCCTGAAGATTTTGTCTTTTAAGATGTTTCTCAGCTAGGATTCTCTATCATGAATAGCTGTGGAGTTTGTTAAAAACCACACCCAACATGCCCTCAGTAAGTATCTCCTAAGATAAACCAAACAACATTTGGAAAAGCTTTACATATACACAAAAAAAAATCTGATCATGCCCTCACTAGAACTTCAAGCTGCAGAGAAAGGTAGGTAAAAGCAAAGGGTGGGCTTCCCTTCTTCTCCATTTCAACCCATTGGCATACCCAAGTGTGGGCTACCTAATCACTAGAGTGGGTAACTCAAACTGGGACTGTAAACGTAACTTCTTTCATGCATTTTCCCATGCATTTTCATGCATTCCCATGGGAATCGAGTGTCGTAAGATCAAGACATACCTGGCAATTTCTCTTTGACTTATAAGGCAAAATAGAATGCATGACATGGCCATAGCTGACCTCAGTGCCAGTAAGACCAAAAATACATTGTGAGCTGTGAAAGTGCTTAAACGTAGCGAGTCCAAACATAGGAATAGCAGAGTGTTCCAATGATTCTTATTTAAACATGAAATTTATTTATTTTTTCCTGACMGATGCTTTAGAATTTCACCTGAAAGTGATCACCAGGAAGTAGAATGTCCTTTTGTTTACCATRTCTTTTAGGAAGCTGGAACTGAAAAGAGTGTTTTCCCCCTGCCTGAACCACAAGATTTCTTTCTGGCCTCCCAAGTCAAGTTTGAAGACCTCATAAAAGATTTGAGAAAACTGAAGAGGCAACTGGAAGGTAATAGGAACTGTTCTATTATTATGATAGCAGCTAAAATTGCTTTAAAAAAATGCCTCAAGAGAATTATTTATATCTGGCTCACGAGATGGAATTGTTACAGAGTTCAATTATGATCCACTGCTGCCTTCATGGAACTTCGCATCTCTATTCACTGTTTGGAGGAACTATATTTATGTATCTTTCTCTCTTATTAATGGTGATCATTTGCTTATTATGTCTACATTTTGTCATGTCCACATTTTCTAACATTGAGTAGTTAAAACTTTAATAATAATGATAGCACCAACCATGTATTAAAAACTTCCTCTTATATCATTGTTGTAACAATCCTAATAAATAGGAACTACACTAACTCAGAAAAATTAGGCTTAACTTTTGTTCACACAATCAGTAAGAAGCAGATGTACTGAACTCTAATCAGGTCTATCCAATTAGAACCCATGCGTTTTCTTAGCTAGTTTCTTTCCTGCTTAATACATCTGCATCTGTCTACACACATGCATACACACACACAGGTCTCTGTATATTTGATTTATGTATGAGTCTAATAATGATAATTACACTCTTGGCAAACATTCTCCTTTAGTTTATATTTTTAATTATTATTCAAAACAAAATGCTGAAAGCTCTTTCTTGTTTTTGTTTTTTTTTTTTAAATGTGAAAGTAGGTCTCACGTGGACAGGAATTTTCCTTTGGCATTTTTAGAGTCTTATGTTTTCACTGTGAAGATATCTCCTTGTCCAGGTATAAACTCTCACCTTGGAGTCTCTGTCAGTCCCCTGACGCGCTCCATGGAGGACTCAGGGAGCGTGTTAATGTGGAAATGGGGCTTGGTGTGCCAGAAGGCGAGCTTGAGGAAATGGAGAGCTTCAACCAGGAATATTTTTACACTAAGACATAAAATAAACATTTTTAAAATGTTTATTGTGAAAGAGTGCTCTGAAACTTAAGTCTCAGGCTGAGAACAGCTTGGAAATGGAAGCAGAGTAGGAAAGATCTGCTCCTGGTGGCAGAGAGAGCCGTTTAGTTTTTTTTTTACTTTGGGCATAAAACTTGCTTAAATAAGGATAGTGGTTACAAGTGAATATTTTTACCTTGTAAATTATTTTTAAAGTGTGTGAGGGCTTTTTTTTTTTTTTTTTTTTTGCTCTCTCCTCCTGTTGATGTGGCTGAGAAAGTGACTTCAACCAAATGAGTATACTTTGTTCAGGAATATGATATAGGAACTTATGGTCATTTTTATCAATCTCTTGAAGAACTGAGAGTTTTATCCTTGTCTAAGACAAGGAGCTTGATGTGTCTCATAATAAAGCAGAGTAGACCATCACATAGAAGGTTTTTTCCTGTCCCTCTATGATGGCAGAATTAGGGCCCAGACCAATCCTCGGGAAAGCAGTATTAGCAATGTTGAGGAAGAGCCATTGTTTACACCTTGGGCAGGATCTGAATGCCCATCTCCTGTCTCTTTGCCCCTTATAAAACCCTTGGCCTGACCCCTGAGTAGACTTCTGAGAAGAAACCTGATCTCTGTTTGATCTTTCCCCTTCTCCTTCCAGGGGCTGCCTCCCCATGACATCCTTGTGAGTTTGATGATAAATAGTAAAGGGGTAAGAAGTGTGAATGAGGGGGAGAGAGGGGCAGGGTTTCCCCAAGGCCCTTGCTTTGGTACACCCCATTTCATCTTAGAGACTCTCAAGTGTCATTCTGGATCTCTCAGTACTCAACTGACACTGTCCTCAGCCAATTTTAAGGAAATACAAGAGCTTCTGAGGCTGGTGGAGCTGCCTTAGGAAGGAAAATGGAACATTGTCTGAGTTATTTTTGTTCTTTGAACGGGGACTTCTCCAAAAGACACAGAATACAACAGAAGTAAATGAGGAAAGGACTCCCACCCACCCCACACACATTGAATATTTAAACAAAAAACGCCCTGCTAATCTTTAGAGATGCCAGTGTTTTTAACACATGAAAGGTACCCAGTAAATATTTAAAGAAAATACAGACCCTGGGTTCTCTAATGAATTTCTTTTTCTTCTAAATACCATCTGGCAAGATGGCCAGAATCCTGGCGGTCCGTTTCATCTCACATCTCCATTCAGGTTTCACCTCCTTTTCCATAAGGCCTCAGTGTGAACCAAGATTGAATGTTTAATTGAAGAGGACATAATTTTCACACATACAGCAAAGATTTGATGAGGCTTTGAGGTTTATTGTAGCCATTAAAGTGTCGTAGCTGCTGGCAAAATCCCAGAAAATGTCTAAAGCTAAACCAGATGTGATTAGCAAATTTCAAGAAGCATCAGGCCCTAGTTCTTTAGCAGCCATGACCCTTTAGAAGAAACTTTTTTTGAGTAGTRTTAATCACATCTAAACAGTAGGGTGTGAATTAACTTGAGGTTGATGGTCATACAGATGTCACCGAGAGTACAAAAGTTGACAATCAGCATCTTTCAGAGAGACAAACTTCTAATAGCATCTTTATGCAAGTAAGAAATCGATAATAGTAATAGCTACAATTTTTGTGTGATTATTATTTTTTCAGATGCTTTACATCTGTCATCTCTCTTAATCCTTACAATGACCCACCCTATGGAGCAGATACAATTTTTGACCTCTCACAGATTAAGGAAGCTAAAGATCATGGTGCTCAAGCCTGGCCTAGTGATGATCTATCCACATTCTTAAACTGGATATGACTCAATACTGTAACCTATCCTGCCTCTGGCCTAGAAGTCTTCTTAACATGTTGGAAAAGAGAACAGAGAGGTGTATTTAAAGCATAAAATTCTATGAAGAGACGGATGACAGGGAGTTGCTAAAAGGCATGCACATTCCTAGAAATACATATGTAAACTCTCAGAAAAGACAGATACAGGGACGAACTTAATTTGGGTTGGGAATAGAGCTGGAGAGATACAAGATAGATGGGTCTTGAAGCCAATAGATAAACAGTATTGTGTAGGATTAAGAACAAAGGCTTTGGAATCAAATGTGTATTATTTACTGATTTGATGAAAGTTAGATCTTGGTAAGTACCATAACCATAAAAAATGTTCATTTTGGGGGGCTGTGTCTGGCGGGGGGGGGGATAGCTCAGTGGTAGAGCCCATACTTAGCATCCGCAAGGTCCTGGATTCAATCTCCAGTGCCAAGAAAACAAAACAAAAATATTTATTTTCTCACTTGTAAAATGGGAAGATATGGTACCTGCATCATAGGAAAGAATAAATGCACAGTTTCTTCCTGAGAGAAACTTCCATAAAGCTGAGGAGGGGTGTATGCCTTGAACTAGAAAGTTTGCAAGCTATAGCATTACCCATGCTTTTAAGAGTCCAGTTGGCTATGTTTGTGGAGCATCTAATTCCAGAGCACTGTGCTCCTTCTCCGCATTGTGAAGACAGAACCAAATCCTTGAGGCTGGGGACATGTTCCATGTTTTCTTTATTTTACTCCACATCCCTTAATCAGACAATGATTTTGATTTCACTGGTACTGTGCTGTTTTAAGGAATAATTGAGAAATCACAAACCACAGCAATAGTTCCTTTCTTACTCAGCCTTGTTTGCTGGCCTTGTTTTCATTCACTCAAGGTATTTTACCAACTCGTATGTGGTAGGAAAAATAATGGCTCCCAAGGATGCCCACACCTGAATCCCTGGAATCTGTGGTTATGTTACCTTACATGGCAAAAGAGACTTTGCCAGTGTGGAGATGGGAAGATTATTCTGGCCTAGCCAAGTGGATCTAATCTAATCACATGAATCTTTAAAATGAGCTTTTAAAAGCTGAAGACTTTCCCTGGCTGTGATCAGAGGGAGATATAACTACAGAAGAATGATCAGAGGGATGCAGTGTTGCTGGCTTTGAAGATGGAGGAAGTGGGCAATGAGCCAAGGAATGTGGGAAGCCTGTAGAAATGGAAAAGGCAAGCAACAGATGCTCCCTCAAGTCAGCAGAAGGCTCTGCATACAGCCCTGTCAACACCTTGATTTTACTCAGTGAGACACGTGTCAGACTTCTAACATACAGAACTAGAAGATATATTTGTGTTGTGTTAAGCCACTTAGGTTTGTTGTAATGGCAATAGGAAATTAGTACACCTTCTTTCTGACTGTGCCAGTTAATACTGGCCACCTAGAGCCTCCAGCGCCCACAACTTTGCCAAGACACATAGGATTCTTCAAGTAGTGACCCTCACAAATACTATAGGAAATGTGAATTGATGCTCTTCCAAAAGAAATCTATTGGCAAACAAAATTGGAATTTTCATGTACTGTAATCATTTGGTAAGGATTCACAGTTCACATCAGTTTGTAAATAAGTCTGGAAAGTTCTATAGTTAAAAAAAATGTGAATGTTTAACTCTGTTTAACATTTACCAACATAAAGCAAAAACACATTCGTTTTCTTTCTTGAAACAAATTACTGACCATATATGCAAAAAGCAGTTTAAGAAGAAAGGATATTGATATTTCTGTCAAACTTTTAAGATGAAGAAAACAGTTTTTGGTTAAATGCTCATTATTGAATGACCTTTTTTTTCTTTTTTTTTTTTTTTGGTTGTTAAAACATTACATAGTTCTTGATATATCATATTTCACACTTTGATTCAAGTGGGTTATGAACTCCCATTTTTACCCCGTATACAGATTGCAGAATCACATCAGTTACACTTCCATTGATTTACATATTGACATACTAGTGTCTGTTGTATTCTGCTGCCTTTCCTATCCTCTACTATCCCCCCTCCCCTCCCCTCCCCTCCCCTCCCCTCTTCTCTCTCTACCCCCTCTACTGTAATTCATTTCTCCCCCTTGTATTATTTTTCCCTTTCCCCTCACTTCCTCTTGTATGTAATTTTGTATAACCCTGAGGGTCTCCTTCCATTTCCATGCAATTTCCCTTCTCTCTCCCTTTCCCTCCCACCTCTCATCCCTGTTTAATATTAGTCTTCTTCTCATGCTCTTCTTACCTACTCTGTTCTTAGTTACTCTCC